CATTTCTGTCAAAGGATACTTGCACATGGTCACCTCACCTGCTAAGGGCGATAAGCAAACCACTGAAGAGCTCCCTAGCAAAAGCAGCACCTGACAATCATCGCTTGCCCAGCGATTAACAGTTGGAGCTCATTTGTCAAGCTGATTTATTAAATGAGCAAAACATGGCAGCACACACAAAACAGCTCAACCCTTTATGTAACAGACTCTGATAAGATGCACCGAGTTATTTTTTTCAAGTTGACGTTAAAGGAAGAGCAGTATGAACAAACACTAGTTTATGGAACCAGGCTGGAGGAAAAAGTGATTTACAGCCTGTAGCTTGTGCTACAGCAGAGATCTTTAGAAACACTGGTCTCTCACTGCCAAGGAAAAAAACCCCAAGACCTATTGTCATCTCAAACCACAAGGCTGTGACTTTCCCACATGCTGCTCTGCTACATGGAATTGAAACTTTTTTTTTTTTAATGCTACAGCATTGTCCACAAATTTGACACTGGAGGTTGGCAGTTTTTTTCTGCTGTATAAGATCTGCCTCGATGCAACCCACAGAGATTTGGTTGTGGTACTGAGTACTTGGTACTGGTAACATCATGTTCTGAGAGTCTTTAAATACTTACAGATTTTTGCCTAAGGCAAGTGCACCTTACAGTGGCACCTGTACTGCAGTTCCCTGTCAGAAGTTTTACTTGTTGACTCTGTACAACAATACAGAAAAATCATTATTCAGGTTTTTGTTTGAACTACAGCATACTTTTTTATTTTATAAGTGTGCTGTCTCACACCCTGTGCTTTACTGTATGTGAGAGCATGTCCTCAAATTCTGCTTTCCATTATTTTCCATTTTGTTCAGCAATTCTGACATGAATTGAGAATTCTGACTCCTACAGAGCAAACCACAAGATAGAAGGCTAAGCTGACTCTGCAGCTGAACTTGTATTTACCTTAACTCTCTCTCCCCCTCAGTACAACTTTATGCTTACAAAACACGACAGATGGCTGAATCTGGCTGTGGACAGCGCGGTGTCCCCAGAGGAGCAGATGTCAGTGCAGCTCAGACATGAAACAGAAGGCTGTGCACAGTTCGGTTTGACAAACCCTATGGGTGCTGAATCACAATGAAGTCTCCAGCAGTTAAAATTTCATTTTAAATTAAAACCTTACAGAGTAGGAATACCTGCGTGTGCATGGCCTTAAAGCAAATTTACAAGTATTGACCTTTAGAAATACTCTTCTGTCCCATACAGAGAGTTGAAATTTCTGTTCCGTTACATAACAATTACTCAAGACTGTGTCACTACCGCAGTCTATGTGATTATACCGTAACAGCCCCATTTCTCACTGATATGAGGGGCTCTGCAACTGATGAACTGGAACTGGCACTGCTGGCATTTAGGTCTATCAAGACTATCATGGCTTATAATAACCTGATGGCTTTCTCGCATTTTAACAGTTGTATATACAAGCACAGCTTTGCAGACATTTGTCTGTAACTGGATATCAAGGGGTAGGGCTGGGCTACCTCAGCCCAAACGGGAAGGGAAAGGGAGTAAGGCAGAGAGACTTGGGGATTGGAAAAGAAACTAACACAGCTTTAATAAAACAATAGTACTAATAAGTTCTACCAATAAAAATAATGATAAATATATACAAGACCCAACAGCTGCTCCCTCGACAGCAATCCCCAGTGATGCTGCAGAGCAGGCGGCACCAGGGCAGCCCCGGGTTCAGTGGCAGAGGGGAGCTGGGTACGGGAGCTGCGTTTGGGAACTGGGGATTGGGATCAAAGGCAGAAGAATGCACAGAATCCTCCCTGGACACTGGCCATCAAAGAAGAGGGTTTAGCCCCCATGATCCCTCAGGTTTACACTGAATATGACGCATACACAATGGAATACTCTCATTGGTCACGGCTCCTGTCCATTGCTCCCTGAAGGTGCAACCTTTGACTTCCTTGTGACCCCTTCACTTCCCAGCACCCCCAGCGTGGCACACAAGAGCCAGCAGTGACCTTGGTCACTACAGGAGCAAGAGCCTTTCTGCATCCCAACCCCTGTCGGTAACTCTAAATATCAGGCGTTATCACTGCCAGCAGCAAACGCTGTTTGCAAAAACCTGCTGTTAACTTCAGAAAGTGCAGCCTCTTAGAAGAGACTGAGGTGGAAAGTAAAAATCACTGAACAGAATCAGTTCTCTTTAGCTCAAATCAGGACATTCCACCCCATATTCCATACTATTTACATCATACCCATGATTACCTTTCTATATGAAAGCCCAGTAACTTTACTGAGTTCAGAATTGTAGGTTCCGGTTAGCTCTGTCATTTAGAGCGTGGTGCTGATAACACCAAGGTCATGGGTTCGATCCCCGTTTGGTCCCCATGTGTTGCCTGACCTAGTTGAGAGGTGTCCCTGCCCATGACAGGGAGGTTGGATTAAACGATCTCTGAGGTGCCCTCCAGCCTAGGCCAGTCTGTGATTCTATAACTCCATCTACCACAGCAGTCTCTCGGGGCAGGAAGGATGGTGTGACATTCGTTGCAGTTCATGCCCACGGGCTGCAGGTTCTCATCAAGGGAGTTACTGTGTATTATTCAATGAGGCTAGTTTTGGCCATCACCACTGTATTATCCTGAAGGACACTTATCAAACACTGTTAGTGCAGTTCTAAGCTGAGTATTCTCACTCAGAGTTAAATTTTGAGGTACACATTGGATTTCACCATCTTTCATCGTTACTCATCTTTTCATCATTACTCACCAATAGTTCCAGTCCTGCTTTGCCTGAAGCAGGAAACATCCACACAGTTTTCCCCAACAAATGTTTTTCATACACTACAGGGACTTTATCCCCTTCTGCTGTATGTAAAGGGTCTGACTGAGCAGGACCGGCACAACTGATGGATGCCCTGGTGTTAACGAACCAGGTGGCTTGTGCTAAATGCCTGTCCCTGCATCTCTTGTGCAGGTCCCTTGACCTTGCTTCTACTTAAGGCACAATCAGTGTCTAGAAGAATCTCCATTTTTCCCTTACCTTTCATAAAAACTTCTGCTGTGTTACTCCAGATGATGATGTCATCAATGCACTTCAGGTGTTCTGGAGCTCCCCAAACCCCTGCTGACAGGGTGTGTGTAGGCACTGGTGGAGCACTCCGCACAAACTTCCGTATCACAGGTCGCTGGCATTTCTTCCGGGTCTACAATTGCTTGCCTGTCACTGTAGATCCTGTCGCACAGCTAATTCTCTCAGGTACCTGAATACCTTTTTCCATGGCGGTCCACTTGGTCGGGCTGCACTCACCTCAAAGGGGAAACCTGCACTTTATGACTGACAAGAGTCACCTCCAGAGGCTGAGACTACTTTTTTCTTGTAAGTGCCTTGCTGATGCCTGCATCTTCAGAGAGGGATCCCGACTGATTTCCCTACTGTCCAGGTGTTGGCCCCATTACCCCAGCATCAGAGCAACCAGGTTGTAAGCTGCTCACCTTCATGATGGCTAAAGTTCTTTCTCACATTTCGCAACTCCTCCGGAGAGAAAGACCAGAGGGCTACCTCTGGTTCCAACTCCTCCTCATCCGATGACCTGACTTCAGAAGGACCCTCTCCTGGATCTTCAGTATCTGTCATGGGGCAAACTGACTTTTTTAGGTGTTTTATTCCCAGGCACAGGGGTGTCAGCCTTCACCTTTGATTCCGATTCCAACCCATCCGACAGTTCTGCTTTAGTAGAACCCCTTCCTGGATCCTTCTCATCTGTCGCTGAGTGAACTGACTTCTTCCAGTGTTTCCTTCGGGTCCCAGGGGTGACCTGTGCTGGTACAGACTGAGGAGAGGCCACAGTGGCTGTCGTTGCCCTGCACCAATGCTTACTCAGATGCCACACCAAAAACAGACTCAAAGGAATTGACATTAAATTCAATATGACAAACCCACACTATTTTGACACTAGTAACTACATTCACAATCATCAAACTCTACTGGAATCAGCTTGTCATACAAAGCAGTATAATTTCCCACGGTAAAATTGGAAGTGTAATTAGTAATAGAATTCAGTAGCCTGTCCCCAGGCTGGCATCCAGCTAAACTCACTGCCCCGTTTATTGCAATGTAAATCAGCAGTAAAAACCACAGCACAATGGCGGCTTTCGTCAAGCGTCCAGAATAGACATACCGCAGAAGTAGCAACAAGTATACAATAACACAACACATTCAGTAATTAAACAGTATTACCATGCTTAACTCCGAACCAAGACTTAAAAGGACATGATATAACAGTGTATTCAACAATGACATGATGTAAGCTGTCCACTGCTTTTCTTTTTCGAATCCTTAGGGACTCTCCAAAAAAAAAAAAAGTCATAA